TTCCTTAACAGCAACCCAGCAGACGCTGGATGGAGGAAACTTGCACCGCTTACTGTAGCATCCCCGAATACATGTAATTAGTGCCGAGGGTATAGGGTACACTGGCTGGTGTAAGATTTCTTGCATGCGCAGAAGTGTTGAAGATTGGCTGTGGATTTAGAACTTGGTTCAGTGTCCGCTCGGCTTAGCGTGTTTATGACGGTTCCAGGGCTTTGGCCCGAATCAGGTGAACATGTGTTAGGGAATGTGGGGACAGATTCAAACAGAGCCACAGAGAAATTGGCACGGATCAGCCGCAAGCTTGATTTAGAGGCTCGGCGGACTTGGTAGGTAGGTTAAATATCGGTTATGAAGTGCCTTGTACCTTCAAACCTGCATATACTCCCCCTCAAGTAGATAAAANNTATGGTAAGATCCCCATATACCCCAGATTCTATCTACTTAAGGGGGACTAACACTAAACCCAGAACCCTAAATAGTAGTTTCCATTTTCTTTTCCATTGTCCCAATATAACCCAAATGCAACCCCAATATGACCCCAATATAACCCTATGATATCCCTTTAAAGGGACGTAGGGCTTCCATTTTCTTTTCCATTATCCTTACCTATCTACTCAAAGGGGGGCCCTATATCCCTAAACCCTACACCCTAAGCCCTATATCCTATCTACTCAACGGGGACTATATCCTTCTCAGCCCTAGAACCCAAGCCATAGAACCCAGACGCGAACCCAGCATACAGCGTCCCGAGTCCTAGCTCTACAACCTAAGGGTTTAGGGTTTAGGGTTCAGGGTTCAGGGTTTAGGGTTTAGGGTTTAGGGCTACAACCTACCTAGACCCTCCAATGTAATTCCTTTTTGGGTTTGGTATGGTTTTTGGGTTAGGACTCTTATTAGGACTACCAAAAAAGGTATTACATTGGAGGGTCTAGGTAAGCCCCTAAACCTGCCCCAAACTCTTAAATTTTGGGGTTTAGGGTTTGGGGCTTAGGGTAAACCTGCCCCAAACTCCTAAGTGTTGGGGTTTCGGGTTTACGGCTCAGGGTTTCGGGCTTAGGGTTTAGGGTTGGGGATTAAATAAACTTATCCCAAAAACTTCGGAAACCTGAACCCCAGAATGGTAGCTTCCATAATCATGGGACTGCAATATGGACACCAAAATGTGCTAATCCTGACTACGGGGACCCCCCTAATGGGTTTCCCAACTTATGGAGAAGCTCCCCAAATTCTAAACCCCTATATCCCCTATGTCACCCCTATAGACCCGCGCCTAATAGCCCAAGACCCAAATCCTAAACCGTAGATATCCCCTATCTAGCCCCATAGACCCCTCTATAATAAACCCCAAGCCCTAAACCTTAAATTCTAAACCCCAAACCCAACCCTAAACCCTAAACCCCAATAAACCCTGAACCCTAAGTCCAAAAAAACCTACAGCAAAGGAAGCCCTGCATGCCAGAAGAGACATCCTTCTCCTACCCCAGTGGTCACGCGCCGCGGGGCTGCTTGTGGAGTTTTAGGATCCTGGAAAAGAAAATGGAAACCCAAGGTCCCTTGAAGGGATATATAGGCTTTAGGACTCTGGGGTTTATAGGATCTTGGATTTAGGCTTGGGGGGTTTGAGGATTTTGGCTTAGGGCTTTGGATTTGGGGTTTAGGGCTTAGGGTTCAGGGTTTAGGATAAACCCTAAAACCCTAGACCCTAAAGGTTACGTGCAGGGCTCCGGGTGATCCAACTGAGCCACGTGCCTGTGGTTGGGGGATGAAGAAATGGAAAAGAATATGGAAACTACGGTTCAGGGTTATAGTCCCCCTTAAGTAGATAGAATATGGCTTTGGGTATATTATAATAAGGTCCCCATATACCCCATATTCTATCTACTGAAGGGGACTATAAGGGTAGAAATGAAATTCAACAAGAAACTACTCCATTCTTCGGGACTTCAGTATACAGGGACTACTACAAGGATCAACCCCTTCATTCTTTGCACACGAAGCAAAAGGACAGTCGTCTTTGCAGGCTTGTGAGACTTCCGCAAGGGTAAATGTCATAATATGGGTTCCCTGGCCAACGCTTATAGGGTCTACGTCTGGCCTCACGTTGCTCTATGTACGCTTAGATTGAATGGAGTTGCGGGGGAAGAGCTTCGGACGGGTAACTCAGGGAAGCCATGAAGGTTATTCTCATGCGGAGATTTGGGTTTCGCGTCTGGTGTCTAGAGCAGTACAGTGCTCTAGGTTTTGGTTTGGGGTTGAGGGCTTTGGGCACTCTTACATGATAATGAAGGTTCTTACGTCGAAAACACGTAAGCTGTTTTGCTTGTGTTGTTGCCGGGGCCTTCGCCCAGACCCTGAACCTCTGTCCGCAAACCCCCACACCATGACGCCTACACCCTAAACCCTAAACCCCTAAACCCTAAAAACCCTAACCCTTAGATCCTTAGAAGGGACCCCTGAACCCTAAACCTTATACAGCTCTAGACTGCTCTGTATCACTTAGGAGGACCCCCCACCCTATAATAGTGGTATAAGAGGAATATAAGAGGACCCTAATATGATCCTTATTATCCTTTACAGTCACTATTACAGGGTGGGGGGTCCACCTAATGTATCACCTTATATAACCCTACACTTTATGTAACTCTCTGTACAGCCGCCCAATGTGTCTGAGGACTTTTTATTCTGCTACCTCCGAGCTTCTGGTGCCCTGGTTCCGTGCGCATAGGCCGGTAGCTAAGGTGTTGTGATACTGTTTACACGGTTTGGGGTGTAGAGTTCAATTACGGTTTCGGTAGAGGGGGTTGGGAGTGGGAATTAGCTATATGCGTAGCAAATACGGTTATATGGGGGCTCATATGTGGACATAAGAGCTTGTAACCACTTGCAATCATTTGCCTATTTCTCCGGCCATCTCAATCAGGGCCCTGTTTGCGTTCAGGGTTTAGGGGTTCAGCTGTTTAGGGTGTGGAGATCATAGGGTTCAGGATCTGGGGGCAGTAGGTCTGTGGACATCCAAGGCTTCACGCATGTCAACATTATTGCAGCCATGACAGGCAATGCTAGGCAACGCATTTGGCTGTCCTCATCTTCAGAACGAAAGATACTGACGCTGAGACGACTGCCACATGTCATAGCTGCAATAGGGGTTGCTTCTACTGGCAGCACGGCAGGATTTGCAGTTGGGGGTACATAGTACAGATATGAAGTTTTTGGCTGCACGCGTCCTTCAAAGGGGGATCCCGCTATTGCCTACTGCTTCTCAGGCCTTGTTAATCTCTAGGATGCACACAAGTATCACCGATCTTCACAGGCATGCTGATTGGGAGGGTTAGAAGGCTTTTAGGGTTTAGGGTTTAGGGTTTGTGCGGCACCAGCGCACCTCGTTGTAGCAAACTCTGCAACTGCTAAGCCCTACTCTGCCGTCAAATGAGGGTACTTATCCAGACCCTATACACTGTTCCTGGGACTTAAGACCATGTGATTGGAAGAAGGATCCTCCACCAAGTGGTTATTATGGAATTCCCAGCCATATCGGTCCTAAAGCCCAAATTCCCAAAGTCGTCAACATCATGGTCCGATGCTGTTCCCGATACCATATGGCCCAAATATTTAAAAAGGGGGCAGAAGTTAAAAGACCCCACATTTGGGTTTGGCTTCGGTGTTTCGGATTTAGGGTTTGGCGTTTAGGGTTTGTGGTTTAGGTTCTCCACCCTCCGGGAATCCATAAACCCTGAAACCTAAACCCTAGATGCTAATTACACCCAAAACCCTGAACGCTAGACCCTGAACCCTAAACCCTAACCCTCAGTCAGCGGCTGGAGTACATTGGCGTCAGCGGCTCGAAAGCACGAGCCCTATGCGGCGTGCACTACAAATCTGATGTGCCTTGGCTAAGTGCTGTGGTTGAGGGTCATTTAGGGTTCTGTCAGGGTTTGCTTCGACTGGTTGAGGGTTCAGGATTTGGGTTTAGGTTTTGGGTTTGTGGTCTGGTTCCCCAGGCCCTATTACCTGGAGGGTCCGGGGGACTTACCCTCCCAAATGCTAACACGGAACCTGCAAAAGGGTCCTTTGTAGACTGCTGTTGAACAAGGGGGCTCGTTCCATGTAACGTAGTTTGGGGAAGGGTAGAAGGTCTGAGTAAATCAGCCCCGTCAAATACAAAAGCCCTCAGCCCGCTTCAGACAACTATTTTCAGTCGAGTAGGGTAGGGGCAGGGTAGCCCCACAGCCTAGAACCCCGAGGAGAACGCTGGCATGAAATTGGGCAAGATGGCAGCCATCGAGATAATGCAGACTCCGCAATGGCATTTTGGATTTGATGAAGCCTTGCTTTTGGTTGGGTTCTGGTGCTTTTGCAGGGTTCCGGGTTTGGAACTGATCTTCGCATCGGGGTGCAGGGTTTTTAACTTAGGGTGTAGGCCGTAAGGTTCAGGCCTAAGCCCTAAACCCTAAACCCTAAACCCTTCGATTTCGGGGTTAGGGATTAAAATTTGGGCTTTGAGGATCTTTATCCTTCCAGAGGCTTTAACCCTAAGAGATCAAATACGCAAATAGCAGGGTATAAGGTGCCATTTATCATTGAGATTATGATATCGGACTGGACCCCCCATGAATTCGTAGGGTCCTGGGACCAGTGAGGTGATCTAGAGGTTTCAACGACACCATTAATTTCTGGTCATGTCATCGCAAGGTTATATCCGGAAAAATATGCAGGAAATAATACTGATTATCTGAGATCTGCCGGTACTCTGCCAACCCCGAACCTTTCGCTGGCCATTTGTCATACGATGCTTGATACGCTATCTTGAGCTTTATATCTTGATTTCTAGAGACTGATTGCGCGCCTCAACCTCAGATAGAGATAGCACCAACAAAAGATTGATCGCAGACATATGCGTTTTCTGAGGCGAAACCCTTTTCCACCCCCCTAGCTTTGGTTGCCCCTGATTATCCTAAAATGGTAATTTCCAGACATGGGGGGACCCGAACATAATATACCCAAAAACTAGACTCCTTCTTTTTGGGACAGCCAGATTGGTACCCTTCTTTTTTTCGGAAATCCCAAAATGGCCATAATGTGCGGGTGAAGTGTAGGCCACGGGCTGGTAAGGGAACCCCTGATTTTTCTAGGGCGCCAAGCCCACAGCGTTTCGAAATGGAGGTTCCCCGGATAGTAGGCGTCCTTTTGCAACAAGGTGTATAGTACGGTATATCAGGGGTCCCCATTTATGAAAACTCATTCATTCTTTCAAATAGGCAGAGCTTCGTTGCGAAGCCGAGTCAGCAAGTTCTGCAGGCGTGGCAATGCTGAGAGGGCTTTCGGGTCTAACACCACCTGGCCCTACCTTGTTCAATGAGTCAGCCACTGTCAATATTGAACTTGCCAGGAGACCATGCAGGGCGGACATAGGATTCTCTTTGGTAGTTTAGTATAGTCCTTTATGGACCGCTAATGATGATAAGGAGCCCATGTCCATGAACTATATAAGGAAATATGGACTGTAGCTCATACCCTTCATCATCATGCAATGGTTTTCTAGTTTTTCAATTCTGTAGCTTGGGATTTTTAGAGCACAGAGGTGCGGGTTTCGGGGGTTTAGGGGGTTTGTGGTTTAGGGGGTTTTGGGTTTAGGGGGTTTAGGGTTTAGGGGGTTTAGGGTTTAGGGGTTTAGGGTTAGGGTTTGACACTTCAGGGCCTTGTAAGGCCTTGTAAGGCCTTTGCAGGACTCCTGCTTGAATTCTCTCAGCGGACCTGTCCTATTTGAGGGGTGTCTGTCAGGCCATAGGCATCAACCAAAAACTTGAACATAATCCAGAAATCTAGTAAGCATCAAGAAAAAGATGACAATCATCAAACAATTGTGAAATTGGTTGAGAAAAACTTGGAGAAGCGTCCTTTGGTCGTCTGGTCCTGTGGTCCATGCTCAATCTTGCATGACTTAGGAACACCAGAATGCTGAAGCAATAAAAGTAGCATTCATACTAATCATAATGTTCACGGCAGTCATCGCAATCGTGCTGCTAATAGAAGCACTCGCCATCATAGTTGTCATGGTGATCATAGTAATTATACTTATCATGGTAACCAGAGTAGCTAGTACTGATATCAATAATGGGAATACGTGCAATTTCAGGGTTGATATTTCTAATATTAGCAATACTATTAGTTCTTAACCATAGGAGTAATATCACGAAGAAGCCCAATGACAATAGTATTAATTACTACTGGTACCAACCATTGAAGTGTTGTTTTCTTGAAGGTATCAGCTCACAGGGGAGCACGTAACGGCTTCGCGCAATGGCTGAGCGAATCAGATCGGCGTGACCGCCACAACAGATCCGCGTGACTTGAGCCTGCCATTTCTAGGGTTGAGGGTACTTTGGATCATGGAAGGTTTTGTGGCCATCAGCGGTAGAATCCTGCTCGCTGTGTTCTCTGGCCACGGGTCTCGCATCGAAAGTTCACCCACAGTCCTACAACCCATAAAGACATAAACCCTGACACCCAAAACAAAACCCAAACCCTTAACTTCAAGAACCATAAATCCCCCAGAATCCGCTGCCAGGAGTTGGAGGCCATCAATCGGACGCAGCCGCTGGCCGGCCTCCCTATCCTCCCTCGTGCTTAGGCTGACATTAGCTATTGTTTTTCGGGACTACAGAGGCTATATTGGGGCCATATCAGGGGAAAACCTTAAGGGTACAATCCAGGAATTTTTGTCATTGTCAACATGAAGGAATGGAAAAGGAAATGGAAACTACTACAGGCCTTCAGGTCTCCTTAAACGCGTTATATATAGGATGTAGGGTTTTGGCTTTATTAAGAAGAAGCAAATGAAAACTATTGGAATGGATAGTCAACTGGAAAAAAAAGCGGAACATGAAATGGAAGCCTGGTTTTTTGGTTACGTAGGTTTTGAAATTTCGTGGATTACCGTCATCATGAATGCTACCAAAAGACCAGTAAGGGTTTAGGCTTACCAAGGTACCATGAAAGGTGGACATAAAGGTCCTTCTGGTAGTTGAGTACAGTCCCTAATATATTCCCTCACAAGAAGCCATGTCATATTGGCTGTAGCTTAAGTGAAGTGTGAGGCAAGTCTGTTCAGTTTCCAAGGCATGGGGCTTTCTGTAGAAGCCTAAAGAATTGCCAGGCTATTCCGGTGTAGTTATCATCTAATAAAACCCAAAACCACATTGACATCTTTCATTGTACATCTAGCCAGATTTCGCTCCTTAAAGTGGAGCTTTGCAGGGTTTACAGACTTCAGAGTGCTTACAGGGTTTCCATTATTAGGCTTGATTCGATGGTCTTCCCGTTCATAAGGTTGAGGAGTCTTCCGAGCGTACACGGTGTCTGGCTTTGTGGATAAAAGTTGGATTATAGCTGTCTAGCCTCTCAAACTTAACAGGGGTCGAGACTAATTATTCACAGCCCACAGAAGGGTCATCGACAGGTAAACCCTTCCCCCTAACATTCAACATCCCTTACCATTAGATGATCGATTCACGGGCCTCATTTCATGAAGACTACTTTAGAATGGGGAAGACTACTGTTGAAAGGGGCCACCTAATAGTGATTCAGGTGGGTTCAGTGGATAATGCATCATTAAATACGTAATTGACTCATTAATTAGCTCTTGAATTCGCTACTATCTAAAATGTTAATGTTGGATAGATACTTGGTTTAATTCATTAGAAGTTCAGTTTGCATGGAGTCTAATCGGATTTTAAATGCATCTCTATCTAATTATTTCAATAAATTTCTTCCTCTAAAATTAACGAATTTGTGGGGTCCCGGATTATTTAATCTAAGCGGCGGGGTGGGTGATTTGCAGCACACAAGCATAGCCTAGAGCGTTTCATTTGCAAGGACGATGGAGACGAAGCACTTGGATGATTGTTCTAAAAGCCCTAAACATGTAACAAAAACTTAAACCCTAAAGATCAGGCTGTCTACTTACTTTTGGCAGTGGAAGGCTGCAGGTTGTAAGTTCCGGGTGGGGGTGAGGTGGGTATGACGGTGGTTTTAGGCTTATGTTTTAGGATGTACCTTCTATGTAGTTTGTGCTTGATTTTCTAAGGTATTTTCAATTTGCTTCTCCATTCTGAGGGCTATACCGTACCTAATCTTGCAATTTCTAATGTCTTTTCCACTCCGCTGTATAATTAATGCTTTCTTGGCGGCCTCATGAAGGGTCCAGAGCATAAGTTAAAAAGGCCAAGCCCAGCGGTTGCTCATCAGGCATCGAGAACCTCGATGGCGGACTGGTGATGCGATAGTGGAGAGTGCCATTCCAACGTGAAGCCGGCTCTTGAGGATTTTGAATCCACTAGCTAGGAGGAAATGCGGGTTCAGCAAGCACGGCTGAGCGTAGATCATTATCTGAGAGTTGTAGCCCAGGTGCTTAAGTACTTAGACCAATAGGGCCTTGTGAAAACGTTGCTGAAGTCTGCCGTTGCTGAAGTCTGCCGGCACCACGGCTCTTGCAAACTGGCATTCGCCTTTTTTGTGAGCGCTAAACCTTGTCATCCCAATTCCTAAAGCCTGAGTCCTGAACCTGAACGCCCAAACCTTTCATCATAATTCAAAAATTGTTAACCCCAGATCGCCAACCCTCAGCAGAAGCGTGAGGGTCTCTTCTTGTAAGTCACGGAAATGCTCACCTGAAATTAGGTTTCATGAAGACAGGACCCCTGGGAGTTCCCTAACCTCTAAAACCTAAACCACTAAATAGCGCTTACCCCAACCTGAAAAAGTCCTACAATTGGTAGTGCGATCCGGCTTGCACTAGACCCTGAAACATGAACTCTGAACCTAAACTCTAAACCCTGAGCCCTGAATCCCAAAAACTCTGAGCCCAGAACACTAAACCCTGCAGCCTAAACGGTCCTTAAACCTTAAACCTCGGACTGTAAGCCCTGAACCCCATGCCCAAATGTTGTTTAGCATCTGTCTCACACCGGACACCGGAAGACGGTTGCTCCTTGAGCAGTATTCCGACCGGAAAGACTGACCCAGACCGTCTGTTGGGGCTTAGCGTTGAGAGTTCAGGGTTTGGTTTACCTATGCCCCCAAGTACTCTCTGCAGAGCCCAAAGTTTTGCAAATAGGAAGTACATAAACCCTGTTTAAGGATTGCGGGAGGTTCCTCCGGTAAGATTCAGACTTTAGAGTTCAGGGCCCTGGCCCTTGCTTGAGTGTCTCAAAGCATTTTGCCCCTTGTGCAGTTCGTAGGGATCGCGTGCAGCATGATATACATGAGTTAAAAAAAAAAGATGTCTCCTACCTTTGGGTCCCTGTCTGAGGGTCCTTCTTTCACAAAAGTCCTAGTTTGCAGGGGTATTGTTTAATGGAGAAGCCTCAAGAATTTTATTAGTATGATTCCCACATGATAATATCTCCATAATGTGAATGTGTAAAGAGAGAGTGCATGCTACCCAAACGCGTTGTTCTACTTCTTATAGGCACGTACATTAGATTTCTGTTACAATCCTACCTGAAACCTTAAAGCCTCAAGACGCCAGGCGGAAGCAATGGCCGGTCATGTGGCAAAGCTTCTCCGAACGGAGAGTGTGGAGGCTGCTGCGTTTCAGCATGAGGGCTTCAGGTTGTGGGTTCTTTAGGATTTAAGTTTGTTTACTAGAAGCCTTTGTGGACATAGCCAATACCTTATCAATGCAGTTTTTAGACCCCGAATTGGGGTAAGTCTGCTTATAGCTTCTAGCCCCCTTTATCATCTGCTTGCTTAATCCTCTGGACCCTTAAGTAAACCCTAAACCCTAAGCGCGTCGAGGATGCAGGCCGATGGGTTCAGGGTTTTGGGAGGCAGCAAGGGAGCTGTACGGCGTCGGGTTGCAAGGAACAGAAAAGCAACACCTCGCACATTTCTCCTTTCCCCTAATAATTAAACTTGCCCACTTCTAGACAACATATATATACATATATATCGTAACCCATAGATGCAACATACATCAAATATTCCTCAAGAACAAGCATTGGGTAGCAGGGGTGCTCAAGGGGCCCTGAGTCCTACAGATTGAAAAGAGTGTCCTTTAACTGGAAGTCGGGCATCCAAGCGGATGCAACTGGGACTTGACACGGCTATCTTCAAAGCACCCAAGTCTAGGCGCCAAACTTGGATGTAAAAAGCTCAACAGAACCCCAAAATTGAGCCCCAACACCCCTAAACCCGAAACCATATACCCTAAAACCTGAACCCTAAACCCTAAATCCTAAGCCCTAAACCCAGTTCCACCCCTGTGACAGTCCTTGGCGGTGATTGCTCCATACTCG